CCCCCCCCCCCCCCCCTCCCCTCTCTCACGTTCAAGGTCAGCTCCGGAAGAACGTCCGAAAAAAACGCCGTCGCCCCGTCCAGACCCGGAACGATAACCAGGGGCTGCTTCGACGGGTCCCCGTAGCTCCGGTAGGGGATGAAATCCTCCTCAGAAGGAGGCGTTATTCCCGCCTTTACATGCCTGTGTCTTGCCTGCGGTTCAACAAGGGCGAAAAAAATGGGAGTCTGGAGGTGTTGGAACCATCTCGTCGAGAGCTTTCGGACAACGTCCCGCTGTAGGCGATACATACAAGATACCACACCTGGACCGATTTTCAAATTTCGATTTATCAACAACAGAAATAGTCACACACAGCGCCGAAAACGGTGGCGTTGAAGCTGTCTCGTCCACGGCTCTCCAAAAATGTACCGTTTCATTTATACATCCTCTTCGTCGTGGCGCTATCGAGCTTCGAAATTCGGCCCCAGGGAGCCTGCAAATCTTACGTACTCGACCTACGGTACCGTAGACGAGTCTTACGGATAGCCTACCTGTCTATTGCCTTTGCACGTAGGTCGGGTGAAGAGTTAGGAGCAGGGTGACAGCCCAATCACGAACCGACACAACTCCTGCCGCAACCAAGGTTGTTAAAGTGAAAAAAAAGCGTCCCCTCTTCGGGGTGATTGCGGGTCATCCTCTTTGTGCATTGATCACTCATGCAATGTCTGCCGACATCGGCGTGTGCATTTTACGCGAGCTCATCCCAGTGGACGCGGACGAAACGCACCTACGGAAGCCAGACACATCTATCTCAGCGTACATGTCGACGCAACAGCTGCATGCATGTATTTGTTGTTGTCATTGTTGTGGTCGGCTTATAACCGTCCCGCTGTCTGCTAAGTACCTTCTGAGATCCGTACCGGTCGAATTGAAGGGGATGCCTTCCGTTCGTGGTCACAAGCCAGCACACTTCTGACACGATCGTGTCTATTACGGTATAGTAGCTCAAAAAACTTGATGACAGACAACAAAATAATTAGTCCAATAACATTTGCGAAATAAAATAAACAGTCACCTTGACAGACGTGACCACAGAGGTTCTTGGCAGCAAAAACCTCCCCCCCGCCGCCACCGCCGCACCTCCGCCCCTCTGCCCGCCCTGTCTCGCCTGCGGGGCCCCCTCTTGCAAGGCGCTCCACGACGCCAACCCCGCCGCCCTCCCCCCTGCGAAAAACGCTGCGCTGCCCCTTATAAACCCGAGGGCTCCGAGAGAGACGCAGGCTATCCTGCGGCCCGGGAGGTAGGCGGAGCGCCTGCTGCCCATCCCCCCCCCTCCTCCACCTGCAGCGGGAATAGCTCTGCGGCTTTGGTTTGGTTGTTGTGTCGAGAACGATACAACGGTGTGGCGGCAAGAGGTATTACCTGTACGTTAGCCCACGTAGGTATACATGTTGAGGGTGCAGAAGTTGTGTTTGTGTATGTGTGTGAGTCATCCATTAGTTAGCTTCGGAGCTCCTGCTTCCCAGTACCCCCTCCCCTGCGCGCGCGCTCCTCCGCCTGCCGCGGGGATAGCTCTACGGCTTTGCTGTTTCGGCTGCTGTGTCGAGAACGGTGATGGGGACAAGAAGTAGCTGTACGTTAGCCCAAAGTGTGATGTAGGTTTAAACGTCCAGAGTTAGTCAACGGCTGCATTTGCGTATGTTTGTATGTGTGTGTTTCGTTTTATTAGCACCGGAACGCCTGCTGCCCATTCCTCCGCCTGACGAAGGGAAATATCGAAATACCTACACGGGCTTTGTGTGGGTTGTGTCGTGTCGAGAAGGGTGACTGCCGCGGGGGGGGGCAAGAGGTGGTTGAACGTGAGCGCCCAGCGTGATCTGTATTGCTCGAATACTACCGGAAATGTGTAAGGTTAAGGTTTCTGTGGTTTAAGGGAACGTCTGCTGTGCGCATCACACGTGCGGGGTGTTGGGCATATTCGCAGCACATGGTGGATGAACACTGGGCATCTATCTAGTAGGGCTACGGAGTTGCGGTTGGTAGATATCTACGATTCACTGGAGGAAGTGTCGGAGGATTGCCTTCCTTCGCGCGCATGTTATGCACGTATCATAAAATTCCAAGCGTGCTCTACGGCCAGAGACTACTTGGTTTTATCCATCAGTACTTGCACGTCAGTTCTTCTCCTCAGCTAGTACAGAACGCACCCGCACTTACGAATCTCAAAGTCGTTTCGGCCGAGGGTGGGTTGTTAGTTCGGGGGGTCATGCTACCAATGGTCGTACATGACTATTAGGTTTTAGTGCCGTGGGGTCTTAACCGAGCGCACAAATGGTGCCCAAGTTCTTAAATCTTGATTTCTTGTAGGCTCAATTTCTTAGCTCCTGGGTTCTTGAAGTGCCGGCGCGTTCTGTACGGGATCAAACTGCAGTGGAATCACCTCACACGGCTGGTGGACCCACTTCCTCCATCTTACCACTTCCCAAGTCCTGTGCCTGACAACAATATTAATATTCGTAGGGCTGGAATAATCACACCACTCATACATTAATAATTGCCACAAATATTGTCTCCCTTTGTTGAGTGACAGCGCTGGGAATGATGATAGCTTTTAGTGATCTCCGTTGCTCATAATACATGTACAAGCCTTGAAGACCTTGCCTGTGTATATTTCGCAAATGGTACGGAGACACTCCCCACTGCCGTCGGTGAAACCAAAAAAAGGCGCACGCACAGGCGGACAGATAGGAATGTGTGATGACTACAGCAGTACAAGACGTTCATAGAAGGAGGACGGCATTGAGAATGTTCGGCTTCCCTGCACCTCTGCACGGCATTATCAACTCGGAGGATTGCGTTGTGAAGCCGCACACACGTTCTACATGTGCGTGGAGAGCGGCGAGAGCGAGAAGAGAAGGTGGCCAGCCGACCCTCCCGCTCGGTGAACTTTGTCTGCTGTCATAAATACGCATCACGATATTTCTCTCCCTCTATCTCTCTCTGTTTGGTGAGGATCCCTAGAAACATTGATAGCGTTGCAATGGTGCGTTTGATGTGGTCCGATGGCCCTCGTGCTCTCCTTGGCACTATGATACCAGAGGTATCCACGGAGCCAGGCAGCCAGCGTCCCACCTGTACCTGGAGAGCGCCAACATCATTTCCCCGCACACAGCAGTTGCAGCAGCAGGAGCAGCAGCAGGACGGCGTTTGTCAAGTTTGTTCCTCTACGCCGCCCGCCGATAGAAGACCGCGCCTGTCGTGCAGCCAGCAATCACGCGTACGACCTCAGTGCAGCTACGACACACTCTGGCTGAGATAGAGAGAGAGAGGAATGGCAGGAGCGGATGAAAACATGATCAAAACTTGGCTCACGGCGAAAAGGGGGACACAATATTTCCATCCCCGAATTCTCAACGTTGGCGTTTTGGCTCGATAAGTCTCTATTGCTATCGTACATACGCCAGACCCACTTCTCTCTCTCGCTCAGTATTGACGTGCATTGCCCAGCGCATTTGTTCCAAGGCAACGTTTTATAAGCACCGCAGAGTATTTTACGCAATAATGTCCATTTTGCGTTTAGGCACATACGTATGTGCACTTTCACATTGTAGGCACATGGCATGATGTCATGTGCACCATCAGCTGATGTGCACTTCACCAAAATTTAATTCCCCCGCAGGGGCCCCGCGATACACATCGCGTGGGTATCCCCTGACGAGGCATTTTGATGCCGCAATCGCAATCGTCGTTTGTGCGTGTGCTGTGTGCTTCCAGCATAGAAAAGCAGCGCTCAACCACACCGGACGACAACTGGCTCACGGCGGCCCATCATCGTGTTGGTGATAATGTTTTCGAGAGCCCTCCCTCGCGCTGCGAATGCCGCCGGCGGCGCCTGCGCAGCCACGTCTCGACGGCCCCTCGCTGCATCAGCTCTCTCCGCCGTTGCCGGGCCCCCTGGCGGCGTCAGCAGCAGCGCTTCAGCAGCAGCAAGGAGTGCTGCTACGGGTCGAGGACGAATGGTGGTCGCGAGCCTGAGCACTGCTGCTGATGTGGGAAAGGAACAGTCATCTCTTGCGGCGCGGGCTGGTGGACAAGGTGCGAAGTGGGTGGAGAGAGGTGATGCTATGTGGACGCTTACAGCCCTGCTTGTCGTGGCAACCATGCGTGCGGCTGTGCCGCAGCTTCTGGAAGACCAGTTGTTGCTGTTGTCAATTGGGCCTAGAAGTGAGATGCACCCTACTCGTAGAAAGGCCCTGTCTCTAGTTACTGTATTTATCCCTGTGTTTTGGCGAGTATTTATTCATAGTCCTGCGCGTCGTAGCAGAGCGGCGCACGAAATCTGTCCCCAGCTTCCCACGCGTGATTCGGGAGCCTTTGAACCATGGCGGAGCTGCAGAAGTACAGTGTAGTACAACCGTCGTGAGACATTACTTTGACTCAAAAGGACTCAAGTATTCTAGCAGTCTGGTGAGTAACCTTGAAACGGTGGAACACCCCTTTCATTCGTGTGGCATGCAGAGGAGGCTGGAAGCCTGTAGCACGAGTGCAATCACAGTCGGCAGCAAGCCTTAGGCTGTCGTCGTCCTTCCTTGAAAATGACGCATGATGCTCGTCGGTACATTCACGCCCATGCCCCTCCACCTCAATCGAGTCCTGCGTTGACTACAGCGTCTGATTTTCACCAAGGGTGTGTGAATACCACAGCAGTGGCATGCTTGCCGTTGGTGCCGCCTCTTTTTGTTTCCCCGACCGCACCACTGCTGTTGTGGGTGCACGGGCACGCGGCAGCAGAGTAGTCGAAAGCTCCCACGATCAGCACCAGCAGAGGCGCGCAACAGCGTTTCCAACTGCTCGTTAACAGGCAGTTGCGCAAGCGGTAACAGCCGTAAGAGGGTGGAAAGATGGCACCGCCCCCCAACACCGATTTTTAAAGCTCGATGACCCTGCAACCAAGCGCACTTGTGCTTTCACTAACACCAACAGTGGTGGTGGTTTTGCAAGCAGTCACTCCGCACAAAATCGTACGGAAAAAATGTCGGTCAGTCATTAGCCGAAGGGGATACAGTCCCTCCAAAAGAATCTGATCGCCTTGCCAGACAAAGGGTTCCTTGTGCCTTGGCTTCAGTTCGTGGGGGAAAGTTTCATGATCAAGCCTAGTCCGCAATTTTTACCAGTACCAGGCGATGTACAGTTCTATCTCCCAGAGGACAGCAAGGCAGAGGCCGAGGAGAGGCATCGCACAGCATGTCACACAGCGTACCACCTCAGCCAAGCATGATAGACCAAGGGTTATCACGTGCGTTTCACACAGCGGAGCCTAGGGCGACTACGGTGTGGAAATTAGACTGTCCAATGCTGTGTCCCCAAAGTGTTTCCATTTGGGCGTCCAGTACTGCCGCAGGAGGGTTAAGGACGTACCAGCACATGATTGTACTCTCAGCTTTCCTTCAGTTGCACCACCGCCAACCGCCGTTGCTGGAGGGGACCATGCAACGGAAAGAGGTGGACAGGTGGCACTCCCCCTTAGACCGACTTCCAAAGCTCGATTGTTCCACAACCAATGGGGTGCGGAAAGATCCCCGACACGTCGCTACGGAAAGCCCTCGACGTCATGGTTTGCAAAGGTTATGTTTACTTTCTAAAAAAAACACCGTGCGTACTGTGTGTGTGTGTGTTTTCGTCGTGTTTTATTATGGCGACAGTAGTCCCCCCATTTTTTTTCGTGGTGAGACGCGTACTACACTTGTCTATTTTTTCGTACAACTACAACCATCCAGGGTTACACAGGAGGGAATAAACACCATAGCCTTTTCTTCTTTACTAGGAGGGTTATAAAGCACAACTTGGACCGTGTTTGTCGTAACGTCTTGGTGGTGTAGTTGTTTAATCCTGTAGTCTACACTATGCGCACCTCCAGGAGCTCTAGTTTTACCGAGGCTTGGGTTATTTATCCCTAGGGTTATGCTACGAATGACCAACGCATAGGTTTTAGTGTAGTGGTTCTTTCCAATGGTGTTCTAGCGCTTTTTGTTTTTGAGCTTTTCGGGGCTACATCAATTTCTTGGCTGCGAATTTCTCACGTGCGCCGAATGGTGCTGTTCTTCCTCGGTTGCAAGTTTTCTTTCGAGCAGCATTTTTTTTTCATTCCACGTACAGCAGAGATCCCTCTATAGTGCCGGTTGAATAGTAGTGCCGATGCCCGGCATAGCCCCGGTGTTTTCGGTATAGCGCCGGTGTTTTCCGAACCGGACGCCGGCCTCGTCAGATGCCCCCATTGAAACCCTTTCGCAAAACAGATTTGGGCACAAGCGACCAAGAAAGCCCTTCGATTACCACTCTGGTTGCTATGGCGCAAACACTGGATTTACAAACCAGTGTCAGTGCTTTGAAATAGTGCCGGTTCGGTATAGTGGCGGTGGATTTTCTGGGCAATTACCGGCACGTTACAGGGACCTCTACTGCTGTACACCGTGTACGACATGACGCAAGACACCACACCCCCCGGATAGATTTTCAAAGCTCGATTACTCCACGACGAAGAGGATGCATAAACGAAACAACACTAGGATTTTGGAGAGCTCTCGACCAGACGACTTCAACACCGTGTTTTCGGCGCAGCGACTCTTTCTGCTGTTGATAAATCGAGCTTGGAAAATTGGTCCAGGGGGTGTGTTATCTTGTGTCGTATACGGTACTTACACAGCGGCAGCCCCTTTGTTATATTTTGAGAATGCTTTGATTTCTGACTAGATCGGAACGTGCTTCAGGAACTTTTGTTCTGTTCAATGGCCAGAGTTTTTTTTTTTTCCGTTTGCTCACAGGGGTGTGACACCCGCACCCTTGATACTTGTTTGCAGAATCCTTTTTCTGACTAGATCGGCAATATCATTTACCAGCTTCGTGTTCATTGCCCGAAGTTTTTTTTTTCCCCGTTTGCGTGTGCTAAATTGACAGGGGTGTGGCATCCGCACGCTTTCGCGGGGCGGGGACAGAGAGGCTTGTGCCCCTTGGGAGGCGTTCGTTCCCTTAGCACCAATGCCAAGGAAGACGAGGAGGATAAGGCTAAGGAGGGCGGAGGGGCAGGGGGAGAAGCGGAGGTGAGAGGGATGGCCACTGTTGTTGATGTTGGTGTTGGTGTTGGTGTTGTTCTTTTTGATGATGTTGCTGTTGCTGCTACTGTTGCTGTTGTTGCTGCTGTTGCTGCTGTTGCTGCTGCTGTTGTTGTCGTTGCTGTTATTTTCTGCTGCTGCTGCTGCTGTTGGTGGTGGTGGTGGTGGTGGTGTTGCTCGGCTATACGATCTTTTCTGTTGCTGAGTTCCTCCGCTGCTGCAGCGTACACACTATTTTGTTTTTGTTGTTGTATCTTCTAAAGGAAGCGTCGAAACTCGCGGTTTGTCGCAAGCTGAGCGCAGCATGTACGTCATGAGGAGGGGTATCAACCTTGAGGATACTTCCCCAGCTTAAGTGACACTTTCTTTCGTAAAAATCAAGGTGTTGCCTAACCGAGGTACGACTGTATCCATGAGATTTGCATTACGCTCTCGGGGGCCCCGCGACTCTGCATGCGTACCATCGTAGTGGCCTAGCCGCATGCCTTTTTTCCTTTCGTCGTTCTAAGGACGTATCGAAAACGGGTCATGCTTTCGCCGTCAGCAGAGCAATAGCAAGGGCGAGGGGGAGGACGAGGACGAGGACCAGGAGGGGTTGGCGGAGAAGCTCGCGAAGACGGAGGAGCGGCTTATGGACACCAAGGAGAAGGTGAGAAGACTTTTCCAGGAAATTTCCGTTGTGGAGGACCCTTGTGGCCCCGTGTTGAGTGTACGGGCCAGAACAATGCCGACATTTGTATTTTCACCGCATGATGTTGCCCTCCCCAGCATACCCGCCT